TCTTCATCCTCGGAAGCATCGTCATCATCATCATCATCATCATCATCATCATCATCATCATCATCATCATCGGCATCATCATCATCATCATCATCATCATCATCATCATCATCATCCTCAGCATCATCATCCTCATCGTCATCACCATCATCGTCATCATCATCAGCATCATCATCAGCATCATCATCATGAGCATCATCATCATCACCATCATCATCATCATCAGCATCATCACAGCATCAGCATCATCACCAGCATCGCCACCACCACCAACACCACCATCATCATCATTCGCACAACCACCATCAAAATCACCATAGTCACCATCATCATCTTCATCATCATCATCATCATCATCATCATCATCATCATCATACTCATTATCATCAACATCATCCTTATCAGCATCATCATAATCCTCATCATCTCCAGTATCATCATCAGAATCAGCAGCATCAGCATCAGCATCACCACTACCACCACCACCATCATCATCATCATCATCATCATCAACACCAACACCACCATCATCATCATCATCATCAGCATTATCATTATGATCATCCTTATCATAATGGTCATCAACATCAGCATCATCAGCATCAGCATCAGCATCAGCACCATCCTCATCAGCATCGTCATCATCATCATCATCATTATCATCCTCATCCCCATCCTCATCCGCATCATCATCATCATCATCATCATCAGCATCATCATCAGCATCATCATCTTCATCATCACCACCATCATCCTCATCAGCATCACCATGAGCATCAGCATCAGCATCAGCATCACCACCACCACCATCATCATGCTCAACAGCATCATCATCAGCACATCATCGTCATGATCATCATCATCATCATCATCAGCATCATCATGCTCATAATCATCATCCTCATCATCACCATCATCATCAGAATCAGCATCATCATCAGCATCACCATCATCATTAATATCATCATCAGCATCATCATCAGCATCAACATCATCCGCATACTCATCCTGACCCGCATCATCATCACCATCAGCATCAGCATCATCAGCATCATCAGCATCATCAGCATCAGCCGAGGTATCTGCGCCACGGTCGGTCTCGAGCTCGGCATGCGCGCTTCCGTGAACTCAGGGAAGGCGCCGCCGAGAACCGGCGACGGCAGGGGCTCAGAGACATAGCGGGATGCCGACTCCGCTCCCCGAGGCCGCTCTTTTTTTGCTTCTTCCTCCTCATCCTCCTCCTCTTCCTCCTCCTCTTCCTCCTCGGCTCTCCTCCTCCTCCTCCTCCTCCTCCTCATCATCATCATCATCATCAGCAGCAGCATCATCATCATCATCATCATCATCAACATCATCATCATCATCATCGCCACCATCACCATCATCATCATCATCAGCAGCATCATCATCATCAGCATCACCACCATCATCATCACCACCATCACCATCACCACCATCATCATCATCATCATCATCATCATCACCATCATCATCATCGGCTCTCCGCTCTCATCTCTATTCTCTCCTCTCGCCTCTCTCCTCTATCCTCCCTTCCCTCTCCTCGCTTGTCCCTCCTCTCTCCTCCCTCCTCCCTCCTCTCTACTCTCTCCTCGCTCATATTCTCCTCCTCCTCTTCTCCTCCGCCTCCTCCGCCTCCGTACACGTATTTCCACACGTCAAATTCCGATAGCTGCTGCTCGACACGCATTTTACATGTAAAGAATCCGACGACCAAAAAATAGGTCCCCCCCTGCGGGGCCCGTTGTAGCGAGAAACACGTGAAAACCGTCCCGAACGCATGCACGCCGACACGCGTGTTGGAGACCCCCCCTTCCGCACACGCCTTTTGACATGCTCCTGCTGCTCGACACGTGCTTCCACCTGCGAACAATACGACGGCCAGAAGTTCTGTCGCCTCCTGCGGGGAGGGGGGGCGTTGTGGCGAGAAGCACGTCGAAACGCGTGCCGAAAGCACATGCACGCCGAGGCGCATGCTGGAGAGCCCCCCCTCCGCACACGTATATTGCGGGTCGGATGCCGGCGCCCGCTGCTCGACACTCCTGCTGGTGCAGGGCCAGAGGCCCGCCAACACCACGAGAACCGCGGGCCGGAGCCCTGACCAGCAAAAAAGGGAGGCAGGGCGGAGGCAGAACGACGGCGACGACGACGACGACGAAGGCGCGGCCAGCCTGCTTCCCAGCCCGTCCGAGTTGAAGCCCAGCCACAGCCCGCCCGGCAGGAGCGACAGCAAGCCCAGCACCGCTCGGCTGCAGGCCTGCGGGTGCCACCGTCGTCGTCGCCGCGCGCCCTCGTCGGCGCCGTCGCCGCCCGAGGCGCCGTCGCCGTCGGCGGGGGGCCCCAAGAGGCGCCAAGAGGTCCCCAAGGGGCCCCCGAAGGAGGAGGGAAGGGGGAGGATGAGGATGGGCCAGGCCGACGGGCTCGTCCAGAACCACGGCGCTGTCTTGGGCAGGGAAGGCTGCCACGCTTCAAGAAGGCAGTTCTGAGCCTCGAAACAGAGTGTCGGTCGCGTATGCAGCCTCCCCACACGGCGAGCAAGAGCCGCCGCCGCCCCGAAGAGGGGAGAAGGGAAGAGGGATGGGAGAGCGGGGAGGGGCCCGCGGGAAGAGCGCACCTAGTGCTCAGGAGCTCGCGCCTGGGCGAGAGCGCGGATCCTGAGTCCACTACTGGACGTCCGAGGCGACAGCGCAAGTGGCGAAAGCACAGCTCCTCGACGAAGTGTGCTGAAATCCCAGGCGAAGGCACGGTTCCTCCGCACAGTCGCAGACCATCTGGGGCTGAGCAGCGGGAGCGCGATCCGCCAGCAAACCGTGGGAAGTCTCGGGCGAGAGCGTGACTCCTGATGGGACGCAAGCGGCGATACGAGCACTATTGAAGGGGCCCTGCGACGCACAGATTAAATACACACAAATAACAGGATTCCCCATATTTTCCCATACCTTCTGGGTTTTCGTCTTCCCCCCCACTTCCCGTAGTTTCCCATATTTTCTGGGGAGCCGACGATGAATTGTGTCTGTGTGTGTGTTTTTGTTTCCCGTCCGGGTCTTCGCCCCCAGTCCATGTCCGCGGCGTACCTTTTCCTGTGCAAGCTCTTTGGCACCGCCTGCACCCCAGCCCCGCCCGCTCCAGCCGCCTGAGGCCCCGCCTTCCTGTGCCCTGTCTCCCAAAAGTAAAGCTGTGCGTAGCCCGCCTAGCTTTTAGCGGAAGAGGTTCGCTCCCGCCCCGCAGACCAAAAAGTGTGTTTTCGTTTCCCTTCTGAGCTCTGCGCCGCAGTTGAAGACGCCCGTCAGACTCGAACGTGCTGCACGAAGTCTCGCAGCGCCCCGTTGCCCGAGCGGCGAGGGCCAGAGAGCGCCCGCCCACGGAGCCTCTGCCGTGAGCGCTCCGAGCGCGCGCGCCGCCCTCGCGCGGCCGGCGCACACACCGCACGAGCATCTGCCACCGTGCTGCTGGGCACCCTCCTCCTCCTCTTCCTCTCTCCTCCTCCTCCTCCTCCTCCTCCTCCTCCTCCTCCTCCTCCTCCTCCTCCTCCTCCTCCTCCTCCTCCTCCTCCTCCTCCTCTCCTCCTCCTCCTCCTCCTCCTCCTCCTCCTCCTCCTCCTCCTCCTCCTCCTCCTCCTCCTCCTCCTCCTCCTCCTCCTCCTCCTCCTCCTCCTCCTCCTCCTCCTCCTCCTCCTCCTCCTCTCCTCCTCCTCCTCCTCCTCCTCCTCCTCCTCCTCCTCCTCCTCCTCCTCCTCCCCATCCCCCTCCCCTCCTCCTCCTCCCCTCCTCCTCCTCCTCCTCCTCCTCCTCCTCCTCCCCCTCCTCCTCCCTCCTCCTCCTCCTCCTCCTCCTCCTCCTCCTCCTCTCCTCCTCCTCCTCCTCCTCCTCCTCCTCCTCCTCCTCCTCCTCCTCCTCCTCCTCCTCCCCCTCCCCCTCCTCCTGCTCCTCCTCCTCCCCCCCTGGGCTTCAGACCTCGATCCTGAAGGATCTCTCGGGGGCACGGACCCAAAATTCTCAAAAATCTCTTTGGGCTTCCCGCGCACCCCGTGTGCTCTGGGTCATCTTCCCGCATGACTTTTTCGGGCCAACGGGGGCCTCAAGACGGGCCAACAGGGCCCCAGGAGGCCCCGAAGACAGTCCAAGAGGGCCCCGAGTCGCCGAACGATCGCTCCAAGACGCTCAAAATTGCCCCAGACGACGCAAGAAGCCTCCACGACGCCCCAAGAGGCCTCCAAGAAGCCTCCCAAGAGACGAAAATCATTGATCTTCGATTAGGTTTTGGAAGGCTTCTGGCGTTCTCTCGCCTTTTACGGATTCCCGACACTCCAAGACGGCCATAGGGGCCCCCAAGATCGCCCCAAGACGGCTCAAGAGGTCTCCAAGAGGGCCCCAAAACGGCCCAAGGGGGCCCCAAGACGGCCCAAGAGGCGCCCAAGACAGCCCTAAGATGCCCCAAAGACGGCTCCAAGAGGGGGCCAGATGGGGAACCCGAACGGACATTTCGAGCCCTCGGCCCCCCCCCCGGAGGTCAAATAGGCCCCCAAGAGGCCCCCAAGAGGCCCCCAAGAGGCTCCCGAGAGGCCCCAAAACTGCCCCCCAGAGGCCTCAGAGAGCGCTCCGAAGATGCCCCAGGGAACATCCCTGAGAACTCTGACCCACACCCCAGGCACCGTGGCGGATGGGCCGAAAACCATTAGATGTTTGGGGCAGTGCCAACCTTGAGTAAGTGAAGAGGAACATTCGAGCGAAACCAGGGTTCCTGAGCAAGTCGGCGGGAGCCGTTGCTGTTATTGTAGCCAGAAGCCGACTGGCACAGTCTGAACGCCAAGACCACCATCCGCCAAACGACAGGGTGCAAGCGCCAAAGGGGACAGACTTCAGTATCGGAATAACGAGGCGCACCAGTGAGGGGATGGGTCAACAATGATCCCTCTTCAGGAATTGAAGCGTCACACTAAGATGCACAAGAAAACAACAACAACAAAACAACAATATCAACAACAACGGCAATAACAACAAGACCAACAACAACGACAACAACAACCACAACCACAACCACCACCACCACGACCAGCAACAGCAACAGCACAACAGCAACATCAACCAACAAACACACATAAACACACACAAACAGTTACAATGACCTACGCACATATACGAAGAAACGAAGAAACGCACGTATAAGAAGGAAAAATACGAAGAAACGAATACCCATGACCGCACAAACAAAACATCACAACAAACCGAAGACGACGACAAGAGCCACAACAGAGACGACGGGCTTCGGCCTCCGGACTCGGCGCGTACACCAACACCTGCGGGCGCCGCGGCTCTCGGTGGCGACACGGCCGCCTTATCCCCGCCCCTCCTCCGCCATCCTCCTCCGTCCTCGATCCCTTTCCTCCTCCTCCTCCTCCTCCTCCTCCTCCTCCTCCTTTTCCTCCTCCTCCTCCTCCTCCTCCTCCTCCTCCTCCTCCTCATGCTCCTCCTCCTCCTCCCCCTCCTCCTCCTCCTCCTCCCTCCCTCCCTCCTCTCCCTCCTCCTCCTCCTCCCCTCCCCCTCCCCCTCCCCCTCCCCCTCCTCCCCTCCTCCTCTCCTCCTCCTCCTCCTCCTCCTTCCTCTCCTCCTCCTCTCTTCATCCTCCTCCTCCCCCATCCAACGGCCTCCTCCTACCAACCTCCTCCTCCTCCTCCTCCTCCTCCTCCTCCTCCTCCCTCCTCCTCCTCCTCCTCTTTCCTCCTCCTCTTACTGAAATATTCCTCCTCCTGTTTCTTCCATGATCCTCGATCCCTCGTGGCGCCTTTCATGTTTTCCTCCTGGTGTTCCCCCTCCTCCATCCTCCTCATCCTCCTCCCCTCCTCTAAAACCTTTCCCGAATTGACTCCTCCCATCATGTGTTTTTCCTTCCACAAACGCTTGTGATCTCCCGCTCCGCTCCTCCTCCTCCTCCTCCTCCTCCTCCTCCTCTCCTCCTCCTCCTCCTCCTCCTCCTCCGCCTCCTCCTCCCTCCCACTCTTCCTCCTCGTCCTCCTCCTCCTCCTGATCCTCCTCCTCCTCAGCCTCCTCCTCCTCGTCCTCCTCCACCTCCTCCTCGTACCAGTACTAGTACTAGTACTAGTACTAGTACTAGTACTAGTACTAGAACTAGTACGAGTACTACTACTACTACTACTACTACTACTACTACT